CTACCCGATAAGATTCTGTGTGCGAAAATAAAAATAAAAATCAAATCTCCAGCACGAGACATATCAAATTCAAATTCAGTTAAATGTACGTTGAAAATTCCCTCAAAAAAAGTACTAGATACACACGACGCGCTTGAACGTCGACGGTGACCCTACGCTTGGTAAAAGCTGCGGCTTCCCTTCGTCCTGATGCTCGGCGGCGCGCCAGCTTTATTCGCGTTAAAGCTCGCTCGGAAATTTATAGGCGCGCCGTAAACTCGCGGGAACAAGAATTATGAAGAGGAGAACTCCTCGCGCGGCGGGGAGGATTCTCCTTCGTTTATCTTGCGAGAAACGTGCATCGCGCGAGCAGAATAAAGGACACGCTGTTCCCACATTTTCCCTCATCCATCCGCGGCTGTTGCTGCTCGAACGTTGCTGGTGCACACGTGGCGCGATGCAACATCCGCGTTGCAACGGCCGTCTCGTTCGTCTCGCGCAAAACGCCGGTAGGATTTCCTTCATTACCCAGCAAACGCCAAATAACAGTTATATAACTGTTAGCTATAAGTTCCCACTCAACAATATAAATGTTGCATGTTAATTATATTGTTGAATGGGAAATTACAACAATTATATAAATGTCTACTGGGTACTCAATGTTATTTTGCGCCAACGCGACACGTACCTTCAATCGTCGAATTCCAACGAATTCTCGATGCTTTTCATTGCCATCGACATCGACGAAAGAAATCGAGTTCTCTCTTATCGTATTTACATTCAGGAACGAAAAAAGTATCTCGCTGTTCGTGTGAGCAACGATAATGTTAGAGCAAGATTAAATCTTGCCAGATACAAACTGGAGATTTGAATAAACGTTGCGGTAATTTTTAATCTCCATGTACCATTTCTCGCGTTTGTATAATCGCGCCACTTCGCTTGACCTAATTACGTGCGCGCTATTAATTTAAACAAATGCAGAAATATCCACGTTTCTACACTCCAGAGAGTGTAAACGAGTAGGACAGGTGCCTTGATGAAATTTCGCGTTGATATTTTCTCGGTGAAATTTTAATCTAGTGCTTCTATTTATAATGTAAATACAGCACTTCAATGTTTAATATAAATTATAATTATTTAATTATAAACTTTTCAATTGTTCATTAATAATTTATAATAATTTATTTATAATAGTTATAATAATTTATTTATTTATTAAATATGTTCAGTCTATTATTATTTTTTTATTCGATGTAAATGTAAATGATTTTATGTAAATGTTTATTTTTTTAAATATATATAAATTTAAAAGACGTAATTAAAAACGACCACACTGGCAAATTTTATTAAAGTGAAGAATCACGATGTTTCGACCATGGGTTTTGGTCCTTTTCGAGTGAAAATAATTTAGTTAACTATTCAATCGTGAGAAATAAGGAAATCACTTCGTCAAGATTATCATATCAACGTCTCCATCAACACACAGATAAAGATAGTCTTTATCTGTGTGTTGATAGAGACATAATAATCTTGACGAAGAGATTTCCTTATTTCTCACGATAGAATAACTATATTATTTTCACTCGAAAAGGATCAAAACCCATGGTCGAAACGTGATTCTTCACTTTAATAAAATTTACCAGTGTGGTCGTTTTTAATTATGTCTTTTATTTTATTTACTGGCGACCTTCAAGAGTTTAATGTTATATATAAATTTATCTAGATAAAAATCTAATTATTTATATTCAATTATGTTTAATATAAATCTTTAATTATATTTTTGTTTTTAATTATAATTAGATATTTATTTATCACTCTCTTATATTACTCTGAATTAATACACAAATTAATTTAAAACTTAATTAATTTTTATTTTATTTATTTTAATTACTATGCTATAATATTTAATTTAGTTGTTTCATATATAAATTTTATTTTTTTAAAAACAAAAATGTATAACGTATAATTTTATCTCTAAAAACTCAAAAAATATTTGTGATATTTAATGGATAATTATACTCTCGCGACAAAAATAATTATTTTTAATTATAATCGCGAGATTAATATTCCCAACTTCTCTCTCTCAACAAGAATTCAGAAATATCTAAATACGGACGCTATTGAATCGCAAGAATGATCTCTCCCAATGCAATCTCATTTCAACATATATTCTATTCACCCGTAATTTGAATCAATGTGTACATTACATAATTCGCACACAAATAAAAAACTCATACGTATCCATTCATTAAATAACATGCTATTCATCGTGTGTAAAATGCGGACGCGCAAAGACCTCTTTCATTAAGAGCATTTCATTTCTTTTGCCGTCTATTATTTCGTTTCTTTCTTTCTCTGTATCAAGCTTTGCCAGTCGAATCCGAGATGCAGCGACGTGCGCCGCATCGAAAACACATTTCGACGCCAAAAGCACTGCATTTGCAACCCCTATATATTCTGATGCTTTCATTGTCGACTTGAATATCTTAGATTCGCTATAGAAGAAATGCAATGTTATCAAAGTTCGATTTTTTCATTGCTTTTTTTTGTAATTTTGTGAATTTTTTACAAAATTTTATAAATTTTTACAAAATTTTTCAAACAATCATTGGTACGTAAATAATTATATTTCTATTTTTATAGTGTCTCAGTTTTATATATCATTTTCAATAATAAATTTTTTGGATTTTAATTTTTCTTTAAAAATGAAGTGAAAAAAAACAGTGACCCTCAATATATACAATAATATTTACTATTTGCATAATCACACGGACCAAGAAACCGATGACGACATATCATCAAGTTTGACCAAATTTTGGAGAAGTTCCAAAACTTTCTTTGTTTTGAAATTATAGCGCAGCATGTCCACGAGAAAACTATTAATAATTTATTTTTGATTACACGAGAATATAGTTTTGCCAAACGAAACATTATCTCCATTTGTCGCTTTTGCCAATTTGCGACAGGTAAGCTTGAAAATATATTTGACATAATAAATTGCGCATTATTTATCTATATCACAAAAAAATGTACTTTTTTTGCTCTTTAGAATTATGAATCGAAATAAGTTGTACATTTTCATTCTCTCGCGATGTGTGAACATGTCATTTTCGTGCGAACATGCAGGATTTTCCTACGTGCTGATTATTTTGAATGCATATTTGTCAAAAATAAGCGTGTCTCTTTGAACAAAACATTTTCTTTGATGAGATATAAATATCTATCTCGAAAAATATTTAAAAATATAGTCATATTTATGCATGAAAAGACTATAAATATTTTCAAATATTTTCAAGATACTTATATCTCTTATTGAAGAAAACGTTTTGTTCGAAGAGACACGCTGTTTTTAAAATGAAACGCTTTCCAACTATATACATACAGACATATATATATATATATAATTGGAAAACGTTTTAAAATAGAAAGTTCACAAAAACATATGGCATGCATGATATATTGCATTAAGTATGAAGTGAAATCAGAATAGAAAGGTGCTGTCGCACTAATATTTTTTTTTAACTACTTAATGAACATAGAGATATTTTTCGCAGCAACTTCTTTGTCGAGTTAATAATCTCGAAAATCAAGGATGCGCGACCACCATTGTCGCGAAATACGAGAGGATTCAGGCGCCACATATTTTCGTGAGAAAAATTATTACGTACGATATAAGTTTCTTCCCGGGGAAAAAAAACGTATAAGTATTACTCAAAACTTTCCTCTTTCCGCGTGTGCAACTACATTAGATCTCTCACCCGAGACGCGATATAATGTATAAGAGTGGTTCCCGCAAAGAAATATAATTGTGACTAGATAAAATTCGTTGTCTGAATTTTATTTTGGCTCTGAACAGTTTCGAACAATCGCGATTATTCGTCCCGCAATAAAATACTAAATAATTTATTAAATAATTAAAAATTTACAGACATATCGCGTTATACGGTATGAAATATCCTCGTACAAGATTCTAGTTCTCGCGTTGCTTTAAGAAAATGGAGAATGGTGATAAATTGCATCGAGTTGGCAGCAACGCTTCCGAGGAATGATGGTCGTGTTACCGCTCAGCATTGCAGACGCTCGTGCGATTGCACTCGCGCCAGTCGCGATCGATATATTTTTCCCACGATACGTCGAAAGCGCCGTTGAAGGAGAGAAAAAGAGAGAGAAAAATGCAATTACCTCTGCGAATCGCGGACCGACACCGCATCGTTCGTCTTATCTGTTGTAAAATATTGTTTTCTCGCATCGTTCGCGATTGTGAATTCCGTTTCGATGACTTTGCTTATAGGCGATCATGATTCAAGATTGTTTCTTGGACCTTAATTCTACGTCCGTTGGCATTTGGACCTTATCCTACGTTCGTTGGCATCTAATCGTCGGACCGAAGGAAGATCGAGATCTTTGACCTCGAACTTGTATAATGTGTCTTTGAAAATGCTTGTCGCCTAATAAATTCTCTAACGTAGATTTTAGAGACGTACATTTTTAAGAGTTACATCAATCATATTTATATATTTCCCTAATTTAAATCTATGATAATAAAAAAAAATAATTTAAATCTTTTTCTCTCATATTTATAAATTCGAGTAAATCTCCTTTGAATTTTTATTACATGTAATATTGTTTTTCTTACTTTGTCCAGAATTAATAATTCGATTACACGCAAGACTCTAGCTCGTTAATTTTATGTGCAAGGTATATTGCTGATAAATTAGTTCCCCGATATGTAGTACAATTTATAGAATAAAACTATTCGAGAATTATAGTTTGACCCAATGACTTGTAATTAACGCATATGCGCGAATTGTAACGAGGATAGGTGTTATTTTTACTTGACATTCGGGCGCAAAGTGCCGATGATGTATCTAATCGTCGTGTCCCATAAAAAATATCAAACGTGCAAAAGTTTAAAATAAAAGATAATGCGCGATAAAAATTTATTGCGCGATTGTACGAATTTTAATTACTTATATCAATTGGAAATACGCATAGCGCATATATTTGATAAGGCCTCTTACCTTAACTATGCCGCGTAATCGTTGTGATGGATTCCATGCTTGCTCCGTAGATAGATCGTTCTATAACAGAAAATAAGAGTCTGCTGTACAATTGAATCTATTGCATACAATTCATTTACCTAATTTCAGATATTAAATAAAAAAGCGATACAATGCGATACAATTTTTCCGTATCTGTAGCGTCGAAAGTGCCCTTCGAAATTCTTGTTCGTTACAATTTAATACCAAGCGTTTATACTTCATCGTGCGATCGATACGTAAGAACGGTAATTGTATGAGAAATAATAATTCGCTGAGAAAGATACGTGCAATTTCGTGAAGGTGCACTTTCCTCTAAAGACACTACGAAAATAAATTTGTACCACACATTTGGTAAAGCGGTATACTTTTGTATTGTATCACACACAAAAATATACCATTTCCCCAAATCTCATAAGAGTGCACTTTGTTCTAAAGACGCTACCGAAAATAAATATGCTCTCGTTTAATAAAACAATGCACTTTTATATGTGTGTATACACATCTGCACATGACAAGTCTATTTATATGGAAACGTAGCATCCACAGTGGCAATTTGCAACAGTGTTTCGGGCGTAATAGAGATTTACGTAATTGCGTGGCTGCATTTTTTAATCCGGTGATATACATAATTTTTGGTCTTAATGGCGGGAAATCTTTTGTCCTGATTAAAGTGCTCATCTCTCTCGAAGCAAGAAACCATTGCATTGGCAATCCACGGATCGATCGATCCGGCAATAATGTAATGGGGAAGTTTAATGACCGTCACCGACCTATACACGCAAACACATTCATGAGTAGCGTCGTATGTGCAATAACAATTAGCGACAGGGAGTAACAGATGTTAGCCGCGGGGTTCGCGCCTGGCAGTCAAGGGCAGCTCAAGCAGGGGGAGGGCGAGCAGGAGAAGGGCGGGGAGCAGCTTTTTGTTCTCTTGGCGATGGGACATTTTGCAAGGGCTCCATTTGCTGGCTCGTTAAATGAAAACGGCGTTATACACGCTGCGCGACAAATTACACTCGGATCTCGATATAATGCGATACGAACCGCGGTGCATAAAAGTAGACAAATGTATCGGTGGCGTACGAACCAGTATACAATCCGTTCTTTTATTTCCTCCCTATGGTTTCTTTGCAACGTAATATAACAACAGGTTTCACTAATGAAGATATATTACCGAAGAGAGAGAAGGAAAAAAAGCCGGGAGAATATTGAAAATAAAAATGTGTAATTAATATGAAACTCTCTAACAAGGTTATTTAATGAAAAAAATGGCACTGCGTGTTAACGTGAAATTTAATATAACGGCGCTAATTTTAGAAACATTTTCAAAGGCTGAGATACTGATTGTGTGATGACAATCGAGCAAATATTAGTCAAGCGTATGCTACGCCTACGAAACAATTAAATTCCACACGAAACACATTGGGTGTGGTAAGACATTGTCGCATTGCGTACAATGGTTGGGGATTCAATGGCGCACAATAATAGCAAGCGAGAAAAATCAATGACGTGTAATATGCATTTACCTTGCTCGCGTCATATCGGATATCTCCTGCGTAAGAGAAGAGCGATTATATACAGAGAACTCTCTATATGTTTATATATATATATATACATAATCAGTTATAACTGTTTATTATACCGTTATACAAAACGGTATTATTAGATTTTGGCATGGAAGAAACTACACAACAATGTTTTTTTTAATTATTTTTTAAAAACACTGTCCTATAAAACTATATTTTTATCGTTGTAAGAAAACTGTTCTATACAAAAAAGGTTGTTTTAACTTGCACAGAAAACAATGTTATTTTATATATATAAAAAATACTGGTATTTCAATTATAGCATATTTTTCTGTATAATCAAAATATCAAGTCAAAAATATACATTAAAAATATACATTTAAAATCTTGATTATAATGATTTGAACACAAATACATGCCGCATACATGACGCTAGACAATCGTGATAATTATTACAGAGAAGATTAATCAATTTCACTTTTTTTTTAAGTATTCGTTCAACAATTACTTCTTAAAGTTAAAAAAAATTTTAATAAAAATATAAATTATAGTTTTTAAAAAATAAAATATGTAAATGGAGAAAAAAATGAGTAAAAAATCAAAATTAACAAAACTTGAATATAATTAAAAACACATTCTTATTTTATATGCAAAAGCGATAATCGTATTTCTTAATTTTTTTCAGAAAAATTATTTATACTTGTTGAAGAAAATAGATTTTAGAATCGACGTGATATAGTATATATATGCTTTACAAGTCGCTCTATTGCACATTCCATTGGCATTTATGGTATATTGATTTTTAACTATTTATAGAAAATCCAATGACTACATTGTGGAATAAATCCTAAAGTTTTGATGGATATTCCTATACATAGCAATCTAACAAAAGAGACAAATTCTCGAGAATTTCGTGTAATTTTCGTGTAAATCTTGACATAGCACGAGTCCTTCAATCGTATATTCGAAACGATATCGCAATCATATTAAGTGACGAAACTTTATACGAGGTGAAACGTTCAAATATTTATATTGGATAATAAAACAATTAAAACTTTCAAATGTTACATAAAAATCGAGAAAAGAATTCCCGCAAGAGACTCTACAAAACGCATCGTTATCACTTGAAACAAGTTCGCCGTACGATTTATTTCCACGAGAGAATATATCGAGACTTCTATTGCGATTGTAGAAACTCCGAAATCCTTAATTAAACGAGTAGACGGCTTTAAATTGTTGATTCGGAAATTTGCATCTCGCGCCACGCGGCGCGAAACGTTCTCGTCGTATTTCGAGGAGGTAAACACCCTCGCTCCGGAGAAATCTACGAGGAAAAGTGACGAGAAAGACCGAGGGAGAAAGATGCGATCGGCATCGGTAGAGGATATCGATCACGAAACATTTGCATGGAAATTTCTTGCGGGGTGGCAGAAACGCTCGCTGCTACCAATATTTCTCTTCGACCGGAAACTGGGATTCAGTGTACCCTTCTAAGATTTCATCCGAGGAGAAAGTTCGATTTCTTAGTCGGGTGCCGATTAAATGGCTGACAGATAAACATTATCTTTCTTATCTCATCCGAAAATATATTCGGGTATGATTTAAATACAGAATCCCTCGTCCCCCAAGTAACTTTTTCGATTCAAAATTTAAATAAATTGATTACTATTATTATTGATTATATTGAAAATTATTATTAAAAATTGTTAAATTTGTTTTCTTTGTACATAATCGAAGAAGAATGCAATCAGCTTTTGGAAAATTTATCGATTTTGCGAAGTCGGCTAATTAGTCGATTTCAACGGCAATGAATGAATGAAAAAAATTAATTAAGTCCTATTGAAAAGCGCGGCGAGACAAAGACGAACCTCTAATCTAACAAACGCTCCTTTGACAGATTCCTTTTTTTCCCTTCTTCGTACGCGCGAATTTAGGACAGTTAATTAAGGTGAAACCCCCCCCCCGGGCAGAGCATTCAGTATCTCGTCGTGAGTTTACACAGAAACTCAAAAAGCTTGCGATCTGAGGTAAAGCAAAATTAACCCTTAATCTTTCTCATTAACGCGAGAGGGAGGGAGAGGGAGAAACTTTATTAAAATAGAGAGAAATTCCAATTTCCAGTATTTTCAATTAATCGGTTTTTAGTTACAAACTGAAATAATTAAATCAAATATGTAATTTGAACGGTGGCATTAAATTCAGAGACATAGATTCGGATGATTCTTTTATCGCCTGGATTGAGCAGCGCGGCTCAATAATAGCCAAGCTAGGATCCAATTATCTTTTACGGCCCGATGGACTATAAAACGACAGCGTTGGACGTGGTACAGGCGAGGCATATCGTTTCGACGACGAATTAACTCTTTCAGATCGCTCTCTTACGCACTTACGTCACCCTCGATCCGCTACTCGGCCAGACACACGCACACGCGAATAATGCGCGTCTTGACACGATGCTCTCCACGCTGAGACTCTTGCGGGCGTGTGCAACGCTATGAATAACCCGAGAGAATCGGGTCACGTTCAATGTTTTTTTTTTTTACAATTCTTTTGTAAGGGAATGTTACACGCGCGAACGACGTTTGCGCAACGCTCGAGGAGCGTACAAAAATATATCTAGTGTTTTTCTCTTTCTTTTCTTTCGAATTAATTCTACTTTTCCGTTCCTTCCTTTCACAGTTGAGATGATGCAGAATGTTTGAAACAATCCAAAGAAATGATATTACAAAGGAGTGTTAAAAAAGGAAAAAAAAACAATGATCTTTATTGTTTTGTATGCATTTTTAATGCGTACTACTGGAGATTAGACAAAAAAAATAAGAATGTATATTATATAAAATATTATCTATTAATTAGAATCATCCTTTACGATAGATTTATATTGCATTGCTATAAAATTATTTCAAGTTCAGCAGCTGCGGATTTATGGATAGGGGAGAGTTGGAATAATAGGGTAGGGGATAATATGGGATATATATATATATTTCCGTATCTTTCTGGCTCTAAGTTGTCTCTGTGACTTTCCTGGAACTGTAAAGGAACATTACACAGTTTATTGTTCCTTCTATAGCAAATTGCATTTTTCTTTTCTATCTATATCATTTGCTATTTTATTTTTATTCTAGTCTCCATTCATTAATGAATTAAATAATCGTAACATAGCTCAACAAAAACATACATTTTTTTAATACAAAAAGGAATTATTATTTGTCGTAATTTTTTTACATTCCACAGGATTTCGTCTTTCTATTTTTTAATCGCAAATTTCTCAAAAAGTGTGATATAAAATTTGTTTTTAATTTATCTAATTGAAACCTATTCACTATTATAAAGTATAACCATATTCAAAAATATAGAGCTAACAGAATTTAATCAGGATAAAAACTCTAATAAATCAATATGAATCTTGTATGAAATAAGTACATATATAATTCTTAAATAAATTTAATTAAAAAGATTGAATAGTTAAAAAATTATTAAAATATTAATTAAAATATTATTGAAAAGTTAAAA